CACTTTTCTGCATACTCTTTATTGTTTAAAGCAGTTATAGATGAAAGAGGAGAGAATCAAAGTGTTGAGTTCTGGCCTTTTCATACAAAGTTGGAATTGTTTTCTCTGTGAATTGTTTTTGACTTGGCCGTTCATAGAGTGGCTCCAGAGTGTGCATCATGTAGCGAACACCATCATTCTCAACTACGCTGTGCGGGCGGAGAGCTTTGCACATACACAAAGAGATGCTGTGCGTGATTGACTTAGCCCCGGGGGGGATTGAAGGGGAGCTTTGCTTGAAGTAGAGAACCCATGCTGGTCTGGCCAGGAGGAAAGCTGATAGCGGCTTTTTGGCTCACTACTAGCCCTGGGTGATCCTGTCACAAGTGGCTGTGCATATTTGTCGTGCTTCCAGTTTACCTTATTTTATTAAGACAATTCTTGCATTGAGCAAAGTTCTTCTTCAGCTTTGGGCCTACCATAAAATCCGAACTGTAGCCACACTTTTGACTTGTATGATGCCAGCGCATCTTAACTTCGGTCTTCCACTTGTTTCCGCCTTAGTTTTCTCAATCACTCGTTCATAAATCTCATCGTGCTCTAAGAATTACTCATGATTTCGTGTGCACGTTTTGTGCACAAGTTACTCGTGATTTCGTATGCACGTTTTGTGAACAAATGGGTGCGGACACACCAATCCGATGTTTGCCAACGTGACGGACTGTAGCATCCGCCGAACTTCTTTGCTGTTTGTTTGCGTACATCACTTTTGTGTGTCCTGTTCACTGATTTGTAAGCTAACAGTGAATCAGAGTGATCATTTGTCAGGACAGCCTGATGCCGTCCCAAAACGCCCCGACAACAGCTCCAAGTTATGACGGTGCGCCCTACACCAAGCAGATGTTGCACACCGACTTCCCGACTGCCGACATCGGATTGGTGTGTCGAGGCCCTTAAAGGATTGAGAACCACTGATTCAGCAAATTCATGATGCGATTTGTAATCTGTCCTGAGTGGCAAAAAACAAAACAAAACAAAACTGTATTTACTGTCAACTGTAAAACATGTTGTTTTTTTTTTGTTCAGGAATCATTGCATTCAAAACCAGATTTTGACCATTTCATCCAACTGTTGTCAGGGTTCACAGTCCAACGTCATACATCTGCAGACAAAAAACAAACAAACGAAAAACCCACACAAAACAAAAACACATTAAATGCGTGATTTTGCATGACACGTACACACGCATGCCATGAAGATCACGTTTCTATATTTCTTGTAAACACACTTCTTCTGTCAATATAGACATACGAAGTGTGTCAGGCAAGTTCCAGGACAGGTGCCCCAAAAATCTATTTCAAACCCAAACTTAAAGATTTCCCGTTGGCCCCTTCAATGTAATTGTCCTGGAATATACAATAGAACTGTGACCTCGGCACTGTACATCAGCTGTTGAATTTTTTCACAAGGGTTTTACTAATAAAATAACAGTAGAGATACTTGACATATAATTTGATCAATAACTCATAATAATATGATAATCACATACTCCACATTACTTTTGAAAATAATTTACTGATATGAGTACAAGGCTCAAATAACTTTTTTTCCCCTTTAAGGAGCATTTTTTGATCATCAATGACACTTTGTCATTCTGAGGAGCAATTTTTTGTTAGTTACCTGTGTGTCAGGACAGGGACTTGGTTGGGCACGAGACTTGTTCTTTGACATCTGGTTAAATGCTTCCAACTTCAAAAAAATAAAATAAAACATTAAAAGAACGTGTGGACAAGAGAAACCAATAATACCAATAACCAATAGAAGTAATTCCTGCAATGCATAAATATCTCAATGAGATTGTGATAAATGGGTTCAAAAAATATTTATCAGAGAAATAGATCTACTTTTAGATTGATTGTACAAAAGTCAAGGCGGACTTAAGGGGTGTTCACACGGCACACATTTGCATCGGTGCTGCACCAATGTATTTTGTTGCAACATATCTTACACCGGTGTAATTTTTGTGGAGCCTTCACACGTATAAAGCTGCTTACTAAAGAGACGCGTGTTAACCTCGGTGCAGCCCCACTTGCGTTCACACGGCAGTTTCTGCGGCCGTGCAATACGATAGTAGTAATACGGAAATAAAACATGCGCATGCGTAACGTGTACTTCCTTTTCCCCGCCTTGTTTGTGACATATCGAAAAACCATGGTTTATACTTCTCCATACAAATCAACGCTGTGGTCTATCAGACACCGTAAAAGGAAAGAAGTGCAAAATACCCAGGATGCAAGTTATGCAATACCCGTATGTAATCAACTCTTCTCACACGTAGCGAGTCTACCTACCCCTGTAGCGTTCACATGTCCCATTTTATATCGGTGCTGCCCCGCAAACTAACATTTACTCCGGAGTAAATTTTTAACCACCTCCCGAGCAGGGTTGAATTTGCTCCGGTTTAAGCTGTTTTCAGGGGCTACACCGGTATAACTTTGTACGTGTGAACGCTCTACGGGGGGCAGCCCCGGTGCTACACCGGAGTAAAAGCTGCCGTGTGAACACCCCTTATAGGCAGATAGGCCTCCCTATAGTCTTTTTTTCCTCATAGGGGGATTTTCCTTCCCCTGTTTCTTCTGCTCCATATCAACAGTGCTAGTTGTGTTTTGTGAATTGATTTGACAAATATGACACAGAAAAATGCTATTTAAGCTTTGTAGAAAACTCATGGAAGGGGAACTCAACGCAAAAAAATTCCCCTGAAGTTAGGAGTGGCCAGTTACCGAACAGCTAAAGCTTAAAGAAAATAACCAATGTTGTTGTTTTGCATTTGTGTGCTGTGTTTCTTGGAGGTGAAGCTGAACACAATTGAATGTTCTGACAAGCCGCTGTCTTTTCCATTTCTTTCACTATTATGCCCTTTGGCAGTGATTTTCCAAAATTAGTCATTTTGCCTTTTGATACAATATACTCAGCTTGAACTATATTTGAGAAAATGTTACCTTTTTTCTCCAGTTTGCCTTAATTTCCTCCTCTGTTGGTGTTCGTTGTTTCTTTGAGCCATCTTTCCGACCCGCCTTCTTCCCAGAAGCTTTCGTCGCTCGATGAGCCCTCAACGTCTGCACATCTCGTGCCTGTTCCTCTATCAGGTTTAGCCTTTTGGTTTTGTCTTCCTTGATTTGCTCCCCATTCAATAACCTTTTACCACCCCACATTTGTGGCTTCCTCTTGACCACCTGCAGATACCTCGGACGAGAAACCGAGCCCAATTGACCTTCACTTGTTGACAGGTCTGGATTCTCGAGGGGAACATCTTGAATGAAGCGGGGCCTTCGTTTTCCTGAGGGAATAGTGTCGTGGGAGTCGTAGGTGTCCGTTGAATCAGGATAACGACTGGGATAATATGGGGTGACACTGGCATCCGGAGTGCTTGTCCAATAAGAATTGATGTCGTGGCTGTAGGTGGAATGGTAGTGAGAGAAATGGGGAAAACTGTCATCTGGGAAAGCAAACGATGTAGCAGGATCACAATAGGAATGAACCACAGGGATTTCGTTCAAGATGTTGGCAACTTTGTTTTTTCCAACAGTCTTCCGTACTTGTGTGTCATCTTGGCTTGTCGATGAAAGTGATAATTTCTCTTTGCTTTTTCTTGCGCCACCGCATGCTAACAATGTGTCTTTCTTGTGAGGATCCTGAGGCTCCCTGCTGCGGGAGAGCTGGCTGGAAGAGGAACTGTGACTACGGCTTCTGGAAGGCGACAATGAGCAGGAGGAAGTGGATTTCATGTCAGGTTTGCAGGATCCACTTGTAGTTACTTGACTCTGCTGCTCCACTAGCTCTCTTTGATTCTTTTTCCCATAGAGCCTCTCTTGAGTCCGGTCTGTTAGTTTACTCAAGTCTTCGATTTCCAAGCTCAAGCCCAAAGTGTTGAGAATGTTCTGGAGTTGTTCACACCGCTCATCGACCTGCACCATTTCTTTTCCATCTTTCTTGGTTTTCTCCACTGTCGGGGGAGACTGGGATCCACTACTGGAACCTAAAGAATGGTCTCGTTTGTCTTTGCCGTTCTTGTCATCGTCCGGCAGTGAGGGTCTTTCCCTGGGGTGCTCTTCGCTAGTGGAGAGCGCTGTCCTCTCTCCACCATTCTCTGGTAGCTGCGGTTCACCGTTGCACTGAAGGCTCTCGCAGCAAAGAGGCCGATCTGAATCATCCCCCACACCGGAGTGCTGGCTGTTGAAGAGCTGCTCACCTAAATGAAAATCTTCACTGTTATCACTGACGACCCTACTGAGCAGGTCCATATCAACTCCCTTGTTGAGCAAGCTGAGGAAGCGCTCAAAGCCTTTGTTGGAAACATTCTCTTGCTGGATTTCTGAACTAATGCTATGGCTGGGAGGAGGTTGGGTACCGGATATGGTGGCCATTTCACGATTGGGGGCCTGGGAAAAGTCAAAATATAATCTTAAATGACTTGACGGATTAAATAAATACATAACTCTGAAACAAGTAAAAGACAGAAAATAGCTAGCTAAATTCGGCAATGTGCTGCAATCTACTCACAAGACTGCAGTCGGCCTCATGAAAATCGATTGATAATCATACCTGTCAACTCAATACGGTTTAGCCATAGTTCATACGGATTTTGTGGTGAATCTTACGTATATGGCCATATCGCACAAATCATACGGATTCTGAAAATGTCCTTTTTTTCTACCCCCCCCCTTACAGGTAGTTTCGTTTGCTTTTGCCCAGAATGGTGCTAGTCTACTACTCGAATGCTTTCATTTCCGGTAACTTTCCAGTAAATCACGTGGTTCCTAGTTGAAAACAGCAGAGTATTCATTGCATACTTCGGTAGTGTACAAGCAAGTTCTACAAGGAAACAAATATATCATTCATATTTCGTGGGGTTTTTTCTGCCGTTATTTTGACATATAAAATGCTTTGGTATGTTATAAGGATTTTTTGCTCTTTATAAGAATTTTTTTGGTAGTTTATACAGGTTGGCGCTCCGAAAAGTTGACAGGTATGGATAATTGAGCAAACTATGGCTTAATTTCAATGGACATGCATTGCCTTTGCCTTCTCTGGGAGCAAATGTCGCTATCGGCAAAGGGCGAGCATTAGCATCTAGCGTTGTTGTACTAAATTCAGAAATTGGAAACTTTCCATGATTGTAAAGATTATCAGAATGAGTAGTGGTTGCCCTCTGTACCAGACATTCAAGTTTGATCGCCGTTGTAATCTCAATAATCAGTCCAGTATTTCTTTTATTATTCACGTATTTACAATGTAGCAGAGCGCCATGGACTGCTGTCACATCAGATTTCTTCTTCAAATTTACATGGGTACCATCCAGAGGTCAGATGGAAGCACACTTCTTATTTTCTTTCTACAACTTTTCTTACTGAAATTTACACTTAACAGAATCACTGAATTAGTAATTTCATACTCCAACAAGATTGGCCACAAAAATATAACAACCCCTTTGTACCCCAAAAAATGAAATTACATAGTGATTTGCCCTGTGAGGTATGCTAGGAAAATCTTATCATTCCATTTGGTAGTTTGGTTGGATTCCAATTGGAAAACAAAGACTTATGTGAGCATGACTAATGATTTTTTTTTTTTGTGTTTAATCCGTATAGGACGTTTGCAACTAGTGCTTTTCCTTTGGGGGAAATAACGATCCACATTTCCCCCTATTTTCTGACATGCTACAAACCAACTGAATCATAATTTGTTTGCGCATTTTCTGCACTGTAAATTTGAAGCAATGTTCTGTTTTTGAATAATAAGGATTAAGAAATAATCACTCGCTGTCCTTCTAACTTTGAAAATTTTACACTCAACCCATTCAGCCGATCACATTCATGAATGAGCGGTATCGGTAGCTTAAAAATCCTGATCGGAACATCTGTAGCGATTGATTGACTGCAGTTAATTAACAATAAATGAATCGTTTCTATTTTATTCAATATTTTAGAGGGATGGGAAAATTATGAAAACTCTTGAATGTTGTGAACTCTGTTCCGTTTCCATATAAGTTTCATAACGAACAGACAAATGAAGAGTTGCCATCAAAAAGATGTTTGTGGATGTAGCTTGACTTCCAATAGGAGTGCATTTTCTGGTTGTGGTCGTGTAGGCACTCCCGTTTGCCATTACTACGTGACAACATTTCCCAAAAATGACATTCTGTCAAAATGCTAAGTCTGTCTGAATGGCCAAAGTACAAAGTGAAAATTCTGAAAATCGGCTAATGGGTAAAAATTACTCTCTGGGTAGTTATTATACAATATCACAGACATCCGATTCATGTTAAAGGCAGCGCTATCCTTTCCACAATGTGAAATGCTCAATTTGCACACATTGCATGTCGCCATTGTGCTGTCTCCACTTTCCATATTATCATTGTTACAGGATGCGAGCTTCACACTAGTTTCTCGCAACAACTAACAAAATCATCCCACACTGGCTGTGTTTACGGCTGTGAAGCGATGCTGCTTCGCATAAAACGTTAATTTTAATGTATTAATTTCTTTTTGCGATATCTGTGTATTTTTGGATTGAAAAATTAAATACCCAATTTTTCCCCCTGATTCCATCTGCTACAAATGACGTGATCGGGCCCGATTTCCGATCGGGGCTTTCCTACCGAATACCATATTGAACTATCTATGATTTATTTGTAGTGGGTTGTTACTGTCACAATAAAATGTAACAACACCACTGATCTTATCTTTAATTTGTATTAACAAAATAATTTTGAATGTGTACAGTAAATGCACTCTTGTGTCCAAAGAGTGATTTCAATGACAAATGTACTAACCAGCTTGTTAGATGTAAATCCACTGGGGTCACTGAACCTATGCCTCATTAAAGCCTCAACTCTGAGCTTCAGGGGATGTTCTTCCAGCTGCTCTGTGCTATGACTTGGAGAGTCATCACTCTCAGTAGATGACCCGTATGTCTTGCACTGCGATTTAAAGAAATCATGAAAAAATATCGTCCCAACAACACAATGTAATATTTTAACTGCTCAGTGGACATCGCATACACTAATGCTCACCTTTGACAGAAAGTTGAGAGAATGTCGCTCCTTCAAAATCGTATCCACCCTGTCTCGAAGAGTTGCATCTTTCGAGTCTGGTGTTAGTTTCTTCTTAATCATTTTAATTGTCTTGATAAGAATGGCAGCTTTCTTGCTTAATATTTGCTCTTCTATATCTTGAAGCACATTCATTTTTCTGGTCAGCTCCGGATCAATGTCATCTTCCAGAGGCTCCCCATCAAATACCCTATGATCACTGTGAGAGCTATGAGGTGCGGCCACTCCCATATGATGAATGTCTCTCGGGTAAACTGAATTCAGATTCCTCTGCTGACAGAGAAAAGCGTCTTCCCAGGCAACTGGATCCATTCTTCAACAAAGACCTCTTTCACGTGCGTGAGTCTTGAGAAGGGTGGGACAATAAATAAGCAACAACCATTTGCATGAACAATATTCGTTTAGAGCCACTATAAAAGGTAACTTACCTTCGAACTTACTCGAAATCCCTATGCTTCATGGACCAACCAAGCCGCTTATATTTTCCAGCCTGTAAGTATTACAGTCCAGTTTTTGGATGCGCAAGGGTTCAAGGTGGTAGCCGATACATATCAAACTCTACACCAACGATATAATACTGTGGTTAATCGTAAATGATGTGTATTTATCTAGATTTACATCATCACGGTGCCTAAATTCGCTTAACAGACGCTCTTATTCACCCATTCACGCACACATTCATACACCAGTTGGCGACTGCTTCCCTGTAAGGCCAAATGGGGGCAATTCAGGGTTCTGTGTCTTGCCCAAGGACACCGCGACAGCGGACAATCGGAACCGGGATTCAAACCCAAGACGCTTCGGTCACCGGACGATGCGCTCTACCAACTGAGTGACAGCCGCTCCGGTAGGACACCGTACAATGCATTACGAATGGATCAAACCGCTAAACGGTGTATTACTGATGACTTAGCTTAGTAGCTTTTTAAGTATCTTTGACCGTTCACGCGAGTTAAATAGCATATACCGCTTCGCATTCCGTCACGAAATGTGTTATCTTTGCAAAAGTAGTACCTAATGACCTGGGTGCTGCAAGGGCTGAACGATAACAACAACCATAGTTGGCGATCAACACATACAAAAAAAAAAAAAAAAAACGTTCTCCTTCGTATTTCCGGACCGTTTTTAGTTCAGGGCGCCCCCTAATGTGTGGAAGAACGAATAATTTGATGACGCGTGTACAATTACCCGTTCAATACAACGTCTTTGTACAAAGTAAAGCGAATAAAAACAATTATCAAAACTGTTCGTTCGTACTTTTCAAGTAAAAGCACACCATGGTTACGCTGTACAGCCGGTGTATACCCATCAGTGGGTTTCACCACTTTCGAAACGAGATGTTCAAAGTTGCAATATCTGTCGTGCCTGTCGGCTAGAATTACTTCTGTCCTCTTATATTGCCTGTGATCGATCGTGTACAGTTCAATGCATGGCCATGTTAAAGGTTGACATTTTCTCCATTCCCTACAAATACATTTAAAAAAGGACGTTGACCTTGTGTTAAGATTGATGTTTTATATAAATATATATATATATATATATATAT